TATAATGCAAATAATAAACTAACTCTTTCTGTTTCTTTACAACTTCTAATTCTCCTTGAGTTTCTACTTCGTCGTCACTTTCCCAATCGCTACTGCAGTCTTCCTTCCTTTTTTTATTTGCAAGTCCAGACGGTTCAACAGCTGGTTGTGAGCTTAATTTTGGATCAGTTAAATGATCATGAGCTGATTTGCCCTTACCGCTAAACTTTTTATTTAATATCACAGATTCTTCTTCATCTTCCTTTGCTTCTCCACCAAATGATAAAAGATTGAAATCTGTGTAACAAAACTTTTCATTGCAAAGAGCAATACTATCAGGGCTAAATTCTGCAAACATATATGATTTTTACTTTACTGCTACTGTTTTTAGTTTTTGAACTGTCCTTTACTTCTTCACTTCTTTGTACTGTTATTCTTGGTATAATATGAGAAAATGGAACATCATTCTACAAAAAAGATGAAATATTATATTTATATCAATTATTGATATATTTTCTTGAAAACATTAAGTTTACCTCATCTACAAGTGCTTCTTTGAGTTTAAGCATACTATATATGAATTCTCCAGTAGCTGTACCAAAGATTGTATGCTTCTTCCGCAAATCTGGTGTAGAACTAAGGGTAAAGAAGAATTGGGAAACATTGTCATTTTTTTCAGCATTATCCATAGCAATTAAATTTCGTCGACAAAAACGTAATCTTGTATAAAATTTGTCCTGAAACACATATATATTATAATTATTTTTGAATAAAAAAAGGAATTCATTTCATTTTTAAATATAGTCTCACTTTAAATGGTTCTCCATATATTTTACTACCTTCTCCTGTACCTGTGGAATCACCACCTTGTGTTATGAATCCTTTGATAATTCTATGAAAGTTAGTGTCACCCAAATAACCTTCCATACATAATGGTATGAAATTTCTGCATGCCTTTGGAGTTTCTTTTGCCCATAACATATCAGTTAAATTTTTAAAAACAGATATATAATCCATTGAAATATTATTAAATGATACTTATTACCTTATGCTTAGTAGCTGGCTGTTGTATATAAATATTACTCATGTTCGTAAGTCTCCTATAATAAAAAAAATCCTTCATCAATAATATTTCATATTAAATCTTTAGCCATTTGTAAATCAGTCAACCAAATGGTTCTCTTCTCGAATAATCATCAGTAGGTAAGACGTACCTTTTATCTCCTTTTGACATTGGCTTTATTGGCCAAATCAAGTCCATGATATGTCACAGCACCTTTATGCTGCTTTTATTGTTTCCAAGTTCCTATAGATATTTCTACACATTTTTACCTTAATACAACATTTACACTCTATATTCAATTTAACTTTACCTTTCATAACTATTACCATTTGTTCATTGTCCATTTCTTCAATGATCCTCATATTTCCATGTCGATGCTACACATTTTTCTCTGTTAATACATATACTGCCTCTTTTCTGTTTCTTGATTCCGCATAATATGAGTTTCCTCTTGTTAATCCATTTATTCGAACCTAACACATTAGCGATAATCATTTACTGTGACCACTGTTATTAATATTCATTTAGATCTGGAATACAACATACCTTTCAATCTCACTGTATTCTCCCTATCTTGTTGCTATAAGAGGCCATCACCCAGAATTAATTGGATTTCTTTTTGTCTGCCTAAACCATTTTCATTTTCTGTATCTTTATTTGACCATCAAAGATTTCTAGGTTGTATGTCATATGGTTAACCAACATAGAATCCAATAGACATATCATACTTTACTTATTTGTATTGGTGCTTCAATTTTTTCACGCTACAAGGTATAATTCTTGGTATCTACGCTGATGATATTCCATAAGTACAATATTTTTCTATTGTTGCACGTGTTTGTTTACTTCAGCAGAATATCGTCTCCTCACAACTGGGCTCTGCTATCACTAATGAAAGATGGAAAAGCAATGCCTTATATCTTACACCATATGTTTATAACTGAAGGTTATGTTGATACAAATACTTACATATTTTTCGTGGTGCAGGCACACCTGCATGTACAAAACAATCCTTCCGGCATTTTCACTTGCAACCGATACTTCCATAAACATCCCGTCCACAGGATCCTTGCGCACGGTCATTCATCCTTCCGCCCGCACTCCAGATAATACTCCGAACGCTCGAGCCAAACCCGAGACCAATGTTTATTATCCTGCGATACTACAATAATATTTCATTAAAATAAAATATAATAGAAAATTTAACTGTTTTCTGTAAAATAATCATTTCAGTTTATAAACAATTATCGAAATCTATTATATTCCCATACTAATTCTATATGTGTAATAATTTTATTATAATTTTGTATTTATTTTTAAAGATTCTATTCCTAAGATTCTAAATTATTACAAGTTGAGCATTCAGTGTTCAAAATCCTAACAATCCACAAGTTTTATATGGTTCATCAGTGAAATGGTGAACATTTCTTTTCATTCAATTTCTCGGTACATCCGTTAAAGCTCTCGTATACTTCCGTGAAATCTAAAATGTCTGTATGATTCGCTTGCTATCCAAACAATGAGAATTTAGCTAGCTCGATCGTGGCAGTCGCTGTTCGTGTTTGCAATCCCTTCCAGGTAAGGGAGCACCGAGCGTCTGTGTTCGTTAATTCCACGGTGGTGAGGTTCGTTCGTTAATCTCGACCGCCTTTTCCAGGTTCAGTTCAGTGGCCCACGGCATAGGACAATAACGCGGTTGATTGTAATAGAGCCTCTGGTGCTGGTATTAGAGGCTCATTGTTCCGCAGAAGCGGCTGCCCCTTTCGCTTCTTCTCCTTCAACTTATTCCAACTCCTAACGTCGATGCACGTTTCTTTTAACCGGGGATTGAAACGCTTCTAAAAATACCTGTTAATAATTGTTGCATAAAAGTTCTGTTTCAAACGGTTATTTAGAGCTGAAATTATACTGCGACCATTCCAACGAAGAGGGTTTTTATACCTATTAGTCTTGAGTATGGTTCTAGTAACTTTAGAAATAATATCTTTGATTGGATTCTGTATGGTTTACAGTTATGTTCATGTATACCCTTGTGTCGGTTTCATTTTGATTAGATCAATAAATATGGATATTTTTACAAATTTTGAAAATAATAGCATTTAAAGCTGACGAAAGTCAATTTCCTGCTATAATAGTTAATAATTTTTTTACTTTTATTATATATTCAAGTTTTGCATAATTTATTGCTAATAATAATTTTAATGGTTTTTATATTCTTACTCAATTTAATTATATTTATACCTTCAAAGAATGTTTCATTTATATTGAAATATTCTTATTATTCTTTGACTGTATATATATTATATATATATTAAAATTTAGCTTCTGCACATGCGCGAGTCTTCGTGATTTCGTGCGAATATTTTTGTTCGATATCGATAAAATTACTAATTGCGCATGCGCGCATCTTCGTGATTTCGTGCGAATATTCTTGCTCGATATCGATAAAATTACTAACTGCGCATGTAACTACGCAACTAACTGCGTAGACTGGCATGTTACTGCGTATGTGCAGGCAGTCCGCCATGATTTTCGTGTTCCCGCGCGTACTCACGAGTGTGTCCAGAAGAAATTTCGTGGAAGGAAGAGAAATTCTTGTGAAAGTGAACGGAAAATAACATACCGATGCGAGAATGGGGTAAACATCCAACGTGTGTCAATTCTAAGCTGTACTGTCACGGCGCAACGTTCCATGAACGGTGAGTTTCATGCTTCATTTCTCTGGGCTGTCATTACGTCGTAATGGCGAATGGTTCGAACTGACGCAACGCGAATGATCGATTGTATTTTGCTATTTTCACCACGAGTGTACTGACTACGAGTATATTGAGCGTTTCAGCAACGCGTTAATCGCTAATGTAGAGTAATACGTTTCAATTGCCAAAGATTTAGAGCATAATAGTTTCCGTAGAGTACCAGCATTCCAATAAATCTAAGATGTCCTTTCCTACATTCCATTTGCAATTGCATAGTTGTATACATTTAGTTCCAAGTCCGATCACCAGTAACGTTGTAATCTTTTGTCGCACTGAATCGGTAACATTGGAAATGACAATTGTGAGACCGTCTTCATATCTACTTTATCGGTTAAGGAGGTTACGATAAATATAGTTCGTAAACTGACGACTGTAGATGGCAATAATGAAACCTTTACATCTCAATGTTTCATAACGTGATAGAAGCTCTTCTATCGTGGTAATTCCACATTTATACATATTTCTACATCTCGTTTATAAACAAGATAATCAAACAGCGTAAATTATCGAAGAAATTATTAATCAAAAGGGATCAATAGGAATATCACCGGCATAAGACCAATTCAAGACCTATCTAATCGAAATACGTGTTTCTTAGAACTCGCTCGTTAGATCCCATTCTAAAGACACGTCGAAATTAAACACAAAGCGGCGCGTCTCGGGCGTCGTTTCACGGTAAGAAAATCGCAGTAGCGTCTCTCTATTCAGCGGCGCCCTTTTCCTCTTTCACCTATAATCCATTGTACGAGCCCTCGCGAGTGTTTCACGATGAATCGCGTTTTATGTCCGCGTATTCATACCGTCTCTCCCTACCAGCGTGTAAAGAGGATACTTATCAAGACAGCGAGATATACACGAGAAGGAGGAAGCATCGCTGCAGCCTGTTGACCCGTATTCGTCGGCCTCTTAAACGGAATCTCCCTTCCCGTTGACCTGTCAAGGCTCGCCGAGCCTCGAACTTGATTTTACATAACGTCGACGCGTTCTCATCGAGTATTCACGTTCCCTTCGATATTGCACGCACGTTCACATACTTGGGGCGCTTCGACGCACATACGTCGCGACGCCGGGGATCCCTTTCGCCTCGACGCCGTGCAGCCTTGACCTTGCACTCCGTCCTTGGATCTTTGCCACCGTGAAATTAAAAGCGACACAACGCCTCGCGTCTCGAAACCACGTCCTCGACGAGGACCAATTGAAACGAAGTTCGCTCGACGTTCGTCGCGACGGACGTGAGGCGAGTTCTCATGAGGAGGAATTTCGGGTGGGACACAGGTGACTTCTCAGTAGGTGTGATGATATTTCACGGTCGTAGGGTGATTCAAATAATACGGTTTTGAGATGGATTTGGTAATCTTTAGCATTAGCTAACACGCGCTATAGCTGGATTTTCGATGAAGATATAGCTTTACGTGGATGTTGCCTAGGTTGTATTGTGTAATTAGACAATTATGGATTAGGGAGTGTTCTTGATTTTCCTTCAGGAATGACTTGGTTTATAATGGATAGTGTTATTTTGGTAATACAAATATTGAACTAATTAAAATGCCTACTGTATATATATTTCCAATAAATCTAAAAGTAGACATTTTAATTAATACATAATATTTATATATATTTT